CAGGAAGCCAGTTAGCGGAAGGGCTGATTTGCACCCATCGTGGGGTTGGAGGGCTTATTTGCCACTTTTTTAGTTCAGGGGCTTATCACTTGCTGTCGAAAAAGTTGAGGGGCTTAAGATGGGTTTTTGCCGATGTAAATTGTACAACTTTACAAACTTTTACAAATTTATCTGTCTAAATCCCAAGCGCCGCCACAGTCCACACACAAGGACAATTATCACGTTTACGGTCGGTGACAGCTTTAACTTCAATTATACTTTAGCACGTGAATCGAATCATGATGAATTCCACTACATTTGTTTTCTTCTCTCCGTCTAAGGCAAATTGCTTTTTTGGTCCTTAATTTTTGGATCAAAGTATAAGTTGGTCCTCAACCTTCACTTTGTTACTTTTGCGGTTCCAACATTCTTCTAGTAGTCATTAAAACTTCAAAGAAAGAGTGTAATTAGGGCTGCAATGAATTACGCTACTTGAGTAAAATTTGAGTTGAACCTGATTGGACTAGAGTTTAAGTTTGGGTTGAAAACTCAATAAAAAAATCAAGTGCAATTAAATTTAAATTATAAATTAAGCTTCACTTGACTCGTTTTAATTATATTAAAAATTAATTATATATTAAATATTTAATATTATAATTTTTTATTAATTTAAATCTTAAATTAAACTTAAATGCTTAATAAAGCTTCTAAATTAAGTTTAAATTTAAATTATTTAAACTTGATAAAAACTTAAAATAAACCCGTTATTTTAGTATCAACTCAAGTTCAAATTTTAAAGGACCCGGTTGTACTTTTTTATAATACTCAGTGTACTACCCACAAGGTTAAAAGATTTGATTTAGTTTATTTAGTTTCAATATTACAAATTACATATTTTCAGTTTTCTTTTTTATGAACCCATTTGTAAATTACTTACAAAGCCAACTTCTCATTATATCTACAAGTCAAATTCTTAAGTGCAGCACCTGCAATCTTGATTGCATTGGTGCGGATGTATTAAATTTTTGATAAATATTAAAGTTTTAATCATTGCAATTAGTAGTTTTCGTATTCCATTTTCCCCTTTTCCCCCAATTATTTTTGTTCAAAAAAAAAAAATTCTTTAGTGCAGGACAATCATATAAGCAACAAAGTTAGAATAATATCCACATGACTAATTGGCTCTGCGTTTCACCTAAGCAAAACTTGTATTAAGATTATAAACTTATTTTAGATTTTTGATTAAGTTTTTAATATTTTATTTAAATAAATAAGTTCTTAAAATAGTAATTTAGATAATTTAACTTTTTTTTTATAAATTTAATATTTGTTTGTGTATTATTTATGTAGATAAAGTATTAACATATTATTATTTACATTATAGGTATTGATCTTATTTACATAAACTAAACACAAATAGACATTAAATCTACCGTAAGAAAAAAAATTAAATTATCCATATTGACAAATTCAAGAATTTATTTTTTTCATTAAAAATTTAAAAATTTAATCAAGAATTTAAGGTAGGTTTAGAGACTCAATGTATAATTTTGCCTTCCAATTATGAGACACGACATGAAGGTGTGATAAATTAAAAAAATTAGAGTCATTATTTATTATACAATCTAAAATAATAAAAAAATAACTTTTTAAGTTTGATTAATGATAATTTAACAATAGTTTAACAATAATAATAATTTAACTATTATCTTAAATGTAAATTTACATTGAGGATATTATGGATTTTATTAGAAAAACCTTAATACATATATAATAAATTTGATTAAAACATTTTTATTAATATAAGACTTAAAATTAAGTTTTTACTTAATCGAGATGGAAAGCCTAATAAATTCACTACAAAAAATTTTTTCCAAAAATTGCCAAAAGAAACAATTATAATGACAGAGCAACGGATGTGTGGAATTTACGCCCAAAAAAAAAAAGCAATGGGTGGACTCAAATTCAAATTTCAAATTCACTAAGTTCATATAAGTGATACAGAACTTGTTAAGGTTATAGTTGAGAACTTAAATGGGGTGTTCTTTTCTTTTTGGCGGGCTTTCATGCAATGTCTAAAATGTCTACATCTTTTTTTTTTTTTGAAATAAAATGTTTACATTTTTTAATTTATCCTTAAATTAAACTCCAAATCACATTTTAAATTTATTGAATGGTAATGAGTGATGCAATCATGCAAATTGCACAACTTTGCAAACTTAGTCAAATTTATCTGCTGTTAGCTCAGCTCCCCTTCGCAGGTCCCACCCAAGGCAGCAACATGTGTGTTTTTTACTTTTCCGAATAGTAACCTGGAACGCTAGAAGAAATAGTGGTGCAGTTATAGATGTGGAATTGAGGCGAAAATCTATGGTCCACTCTTCACTCTACTGAATATAAAACTATCTACCTTTTAATCTATAATATAAAAATTTTAATATTTTATTTTTTAATATAAATAAAAAATTTTAATATACATATAATAAATTTAATCAAATTATTTTTATTAATATAAGATTCAAAATTAAATTTTTACTTAATCAAAATAGAAAGTTTAACAAATACATTACACACAATTTTTTCTAAAAATTGGCAAGAAAAAACAATTATAATATTATAACTTTGGGTGTGGACTCAAAATCAATTTTTAAATTCCTTAAGTTCATACGAGTGATACACAGCTTGTTAAGTTCATAGTTGAGAACTTCATTAAGGTGTCCGTTTCTTTTTGGCTGGCTTCTATGGAGTGTCTGAAATGTCTACATCTTTTAATTTATTCTTAGATCAAACTCCAAATCACATTTCAAATTTATTGAATGATAACGAGGGATGCAAGTTGCACAACTTTAGAACTTCGTCAAATTTATCTATGTCGAAATCTATCAATTCCCCTTCCCAAGTCCCACCCAAGGCAGCAACAGGTGAGTTTTTTTTTTTTTTTTGGGAATAGTAACTTGGAATGCTGGAAGGAATAATGGTGCAGCTATAAGTGTGGAATCGAAATCAAATTTCAAATTTCTATAGTTTATACGACTGATGCAGATCTTGTTACGCTCGGCTCAGTACATACTAGAAGTTGTTGGGAACTTTAAGTGGGGTATCCGACATGTCTACATTTTGTTAGTTTTTTTCTTTCACCAAGCAACCACTCAAAAAAGCAACCTTCATAATTGAAATAGATTGTCTTATTGTTGTTAGGTGTGATTACTGACAATTTGTTACTTCTCTACTGATTAGTCAGCACCACGTTAAACGACATTCTATTGATTAGTAATTTTTTCTTTTTGGGTGTCAACATCTTATAAACTTGTTACAAGGGCTTAACTTGCTCCGCCGTTTTTCGACGAAAAAGATCATTTCGCTTGTTGACCAGCTTTCTTCTGGGGTTTTTTTTTTCCTAATATACATGTATTGTGCTGTTTTTCTTTTTTTTTTTTTGAAACGTACATGTATTGTGCTGTTTAAGTTTACTGAGTCTATCTCTATATTCTTAAAAAAAAAAAAAAAAAAATTCTTACCCTTTTGTTTTTTTTGTTAACTTTATATAATTACACAGTCTAATTTATGAAAAAGTGATTTTTTTTTATGTAACAATTTTTGTCATATCATGTTTGACGTAGTTTTAAGAGGCACATGATTCTTCTTTTGCATGATTTTCTATAACTAAACAATTAGTTTTTGTTTTTTTAAGTAAATGTAACTAAACAATTAGTTGAGATTTAACCAAAAGTTATGTAATGTTTTGTTTTATTAGATCCATGATTAAAGAAAATAATGATCACTTAGTATCATAATGGCACAACAATTCGTCCCAATTTTCTCTGGTTAGAGAAGATAAGAAGTGGTAATGGCACAATAAGGATAAAAGCAAATTCCAAATTCCTCATTACTTAACATTATAATCAAAAATTAAAAAACATTAAGGAAAAATTATATTCGAGATTATATTTGACCAAAAAAAAAAGAGAGAAAGAGACAGGATCTCTCCCCATTTCTGAGTAAGATAAAAGTTGTTAAATAAAGCAAAATTTTTTGTACTAAAAATAAAAACATAAACCATATAATTAGTAGAATAAAAACAAGGATTGGTTAGTGGCAATATAGGTAAAAACAATCTATTGCATTTTTTTATGGTAAAAGAAGATAGGGATTGGTTGGTAGCATAATGTGCACAGTAAGACTCATAATTTTGGTATTTATATTAATCCTTTCTCCAATTAGATTTAATTAACTTGAAATTATAGAAAGAGTTGATTCCTCGTAAAGTGATCTGGTACAAAGCATGTTCTTTTTCGGCAATAAAATAATTTTATTTGTGGCTTAAACAGGTACCATCTTAGCATCGATCTCTGTTCATTTTCAATTTTGATATTTAATATAAAAAGGTATCTATATTTATTTCTCACACTGTTTATTTTTTATGTATTAAATTTTTTATTCCCCTGTTATCCCTTCTAAGCACCTTTAAAAATTTTTTTTACTTCACCATCTTTAAAAAATGAAAGGAACAAAAATGAAAATTTAAAAATTATAAATTGTGTTTTTAAAATTCTATTAAAATTTTATTTTATTGTACATATAAAAAATATAATAATTGAAACGACTTGTTTCGACCCAATGACATCGGACCTTGGATTAGAGCTGTTCATCTCCGATGGATTGCATGTTCGAACCCCACGAATTTTTTTTCTCTCCTCCCCTAATTAATCATATAAATAATTACAAATTGTTTAAAAAAAAATATAACAATTGAAAATAAATAATAACCGTAATTTATTTTATTAATTAAAATATAGCTAAACATCTTTCATTCTTTTGAAACTATCTTCAAGCTTGAGTCAATTGAATCCTTCTTACCCGAACCATTGTCAGTCCGGTAATTACGATTCATGGTCACAAAACACGAGTCACCTTATTACGTGTAATGACACAAACGATAAAATTTTGGGTTAAATTTAATAAATAATTTATTAATTATGTGATTTACTTTAATTTAATTTAAAAATAAATTTTAAAAAATAATTTATAAATTATCAATTTTATTTTAAAATAATCTACCGTAACAAATACTCCCTTAACTAAACCAATGAAATCCTTTCTAGTTGTTCATGTGTTACTTAATTCATTACTCACTTGCCATGTGGCCCACAATACATAAAATGGAGTTGGTGTAAACAAGTTACCCATACACTTTTGAAAAATGTTAAAATATAATACATATATTTTTATTTTTTATA